GCCCAGTAGGGAAGCCCTCCTTCAAAACCCCAGGAAACACACAGTAGAAGAAGCCAAAAGAGCACATTCTCTTTACTAACTGGCTGTAGAAGATACATGGTTCCTGTGCATGAATGGGAAAATCAGGTGCAATATTTTCTGTTAGTGAAAGGAAGTGAATAGGAACCTTTTAGTTTAACTTGTAGAAACTTCAGCAGGTAACTCAGAACTTCCTTGTTTTGGCATCTATCTGATCATTAACTCGATTTTCTAAAATCTGGTCAAACATGCCTCCCTTCTTCAAACGGGCCCATTTTTCATCATACAAAATTCTCAAGAGTCTGAAGGTTAGAAACCTGTTTACTTGTTCTAACTTCTCATTAAAGTTAAAAAAGAGCAACTAATTTACCAGTTATCTTTTACGAGTCAACAACCAGTAGCAGAAGTGCTCTGGAGCAAACCAAAGCTGCTACATTGCCTATACATCCTCCATTGTTGTTCCCACAGCATGTCAACACTTAACAAAAATAAGGTCCTCAACAAAGGCAAAAAAGGCCAGTCTTATCTACTGTAAAAATTATGCTCAGGACAGAGAGCTGCTTAATTCTAATGCAACAAGCAGAGCTTTACAAATACTCCAAATTAAATTATCTCGATACTTTTCCCAGTCATTCATCCTCTGAAGAGCAGTGTGTACACACACACACACACACACACACACAACTTCTTGCTATTTGCTTGACATATCGTTTATTTGCAAGCCTTTACTCTGGTCCCCACTATCCAAGATAATACCGAGGCTACCAGCTACCTATGTTTAGGGCTACATACAGATTCATCTATTCCTAAAGCTTTGCCAAGCAAGATATATTTCAAAAAATTAAGTTCTCCAGGTATGGAGTAAGAGTAGAAAAAGTTACTTATGTTGATTTATAAAAAAAAAAAAAGGGAACCAGCACCAAATTTTTAGCGTTTCTTAATGGTTCAGAGTGGGTTTTTAACAATTAACATTCCCTAACAAAATGCATGAACAGAAGCATGAAAGATAAGTGAATGCCTATTCAAGCAATATTTATATGTTGATAAGAGCCATTAAGGAAAATAATCTTGATGGGCTCACTGCCACGTATTATTGGTTTGCACAGTTTAGAAGTGGCCTGCCAACACTGAGCTGATATGAATACATTTACTCTCTCACAAGTATAGTACATTTAAAATTGCATGCCTGCAAGAATTTGTTTTAAAAATGTGGAAAATAGGTTTAAAATAAAGCTTCTTTAAAAAGTATCCTAATCAAGACCATCCATCATCAGAGTAGTTACTTTCCTACAAAAAAAAAAAAAAAAAACACAAAAACGCCTCCAACAACTATAATTAAGCACCCAAATGGAAACCATTAAAGGAAGATAGACAAATTTTAGTATCTGTCAGACCTAAGATCTAAAATGACCCCAGTCTTTTATGCTTACTATATAAAAACATTGTACAAATATCTGCTCTGCTGTACTAAGAAAGTCTTGCTCCCAACTCAGAGCACATTATGACTTCCAAGTGGTACCAGCTGCTTAAATGAGCTTTTCATTGCATCCTGGATAGACACTCAAGCTTAGGAGCTTCCAAAAGCTAATTTATTCTCCTATTTTACCTAAACTGAAAACCATTCTCATTTTTTTAGACTGAGGTGATTAACAGTAAGAAAAAAAAATATTGGAATATCTTATGATACCAACCTTCAAATAGGGCATGAAATAAAATAATATAGAAAGATGCTTTGGCTGGCATAGAGAGGGAGAAAAAGCCTGGTCTCCAAGCTACTTCGTCCTATCTAAATCTGAATTTCTTATACAACAGCTCACACCCAACCAGCCCATGATTTAAATTCTCTCCATATACTTAAAAAAATTTTTTATTCTAGATATGTGTGTTGTGTTAAAACTATTTCTGTAAAAAGACAATCCTATCGACTTTGGCTTTGCCTGTGGGCAGTGCATTAGCCTAACAAAGCATGCCATTTCTATGATTCTTGGCTGTCTGGGCACCAAAGTGGTCTAGGAGATCCAGGTTATTTCAGAACCCTTTAGGAACAATGACCACAGAGTTTTCTCGTTGCCTTAATTTTGACAGTTATTTTAATATAACTAAGGAATAACTACTCAGAACGCCAGGGATTGTAAAGTGCATCACAGAGGAGAAGGAGATGAGTGGTGGCAAACTCAGTTAGCAGACTTTTATGGAATCCGCTGTCACCAATGGGGCAAGAAAACAACATCTTAATTTTCTGTTGAGATTTTATTTGAAATCTAATTCAAATTGTCAAAGCTACAAAAGGGGGAAAAACATCTGTGTGTTATTTTTGCTAGGTCACAACATCCTAAAACAAAATATCACTACTGCCAGCAGATCAGTTACACACATTTCTGATGAAATTCATAAACACAAAAAAATGTTTCATTTTGAGAAACAGCCACAATGAAGATATTTTTGTACAATATAAAACAATGACAGGTCTACAGATGCAGTTACTCATGAGTATACACGTGCATTCACAAAAAAAAAAAAAATTCAGGAATGCTCTTCCATTTGATTTTTTTTCAAAACAGACTTGTTCAGGCACAAAAACAAAACCGCATTTCCAGTAAGCGACAGCATTGTAAAAAAAATGTGAATTTTTTTTTTGTCAGTGTTTGCTTTTCTTTGACTTCTTGTGAGATCTGTGCGGAGATCGAGACTGAGACCTGGATTTCTTCCCTGATTTTTTAGGGGACCTAGATCGTGATCGCCTAGACCTTTTAGGTGTCCTTGAACCAGATGGTGATCTGTCAAAAATAGAAGTCAAGCATGAATATGTAGGTAAGAACTCTATTTTAGATGTTTAAAGTACCCAACAATTCAGAGCAATGAAAAAAATCATTTAAACAAAATACTTAATTTCCATAAAGTGTTATAAGTACCCTTATATTTCTAAACTACCTCAAAATGAAGGAAACACTATTATCCTGTACATTAGGAAAGTAAGCCATCCTATAAGGCAAGCTATAGCCTCGAAAAAACTGCTATTTTAATTTTATATGAAGTTAAGATGGATCTGTTATCCTAGTGAATTCTGTGGTACAGATCAATATGAAAACATCTTTCTCATTATTAATAAAAATTTCCCCTCAGAAAATAAAAGAGCCAAACTTCTGTCTCAATTGGTCTCACTTCAATTCATAATTTCATGATTTGTACAAATGATGCAACATGGGTCATTAAAGTACTATGTACTATAAGGAATAAGAGATCAAAAAGTACATTACCAGGAGAGATTATACATAATTTTTAGTTCTACAGTTTAGGAAAAGGCAGAATCGATTCTATGATCATCTAAATACAATACCATCTAGAACAAGAACTGGATGTTTTTGAAATCCAGTCCAGCCCTATGATTTTATTAGCAATAGACAAACTAGAGAAAGTTTTTCAGTCCAAAAGACACTTCTGTCTATAAGATTTTTTAATAAGACAATTTGCCATTTAGATAGCTACAATTTAAAAGGTCCCAAATAACCTATGTTCCTAATCTCCACACAAATAGTAATGTAAAATCCAGAAGCTACTTAACACAAACTCATGCAACAAATGAAGCATGGTGTATATAAAGTGGTAGCCTTGGAACCAAGAGGACTTGGGGTTCAAATCCTACCTGAAATACTAACAGTAGAACCACAGGCAAGACACTTAATCTCTATCAGGCTCAGTTTCCTTCCCTATAAAAGGAGGGGCAAGACTAGATGGCCCTTCAAGCTCCAAATCTATGATAGTCTATGAATAATACCATCATTTTGACTAAAGTCAGAATGCAATAGCTAATTTATCTATAAGCCACAATTGTACATGACTGAAAACAAAGAAGCCTTATCAGCAGCAAAACTAAAGACCCCAAAGTCCGTGTGCTTCCTCCACAGGACAGAATAACAGAGTCTATTTTCTCTGGGTGTACATGCATTCTTAGGGACCTAGATTTCCATCCCACAGCAGATTAGAAGTATCAAACCAGAAAAGGGAGGTTATGTTGGGAGAAGAGAAAGGTCAAGGAAGGATCTTAGAAAGTAAACTGACAACGGTGAGAATTTTTTGCTGATGGTAAGGGAGAAAAGAGAAAAAAACTATAAAAATCAGACATAATAACTTAAAAAAAAAAAAGTACAGCAGCCCAGAGCCATTTAGCTTGTCCACAGGGGCTAAGGTCATGACAGTACTGCTACAATAACTGCCATGCATCCCTGAGCCTCCAAGAACATGTTAAACTATGGCCAGAATGCTTTGAGAAGGCAGAGTATAATACTATTTTGGACAAATTCTCATCAGACTTCTTTTTAGCTCTCTGACACCCTGAAAGAAAACATTTCAGTTGTTTGGTAAATTTCCATTAATAGCAAAAAATGACGTGTTCCTGTATTAAGTGTCTGTGGAGACAGAAGTAAAAAAAGGAAAAAAGTACGCAGACTACAGAATTCATTAAGTGAAAAAGAGAATCAAGAAGAGATTCCTTTATGCAAATATTTGCATCAGCCCCACATTCTTCCCTGTGATGCTGCTGTGGCATAAGATGGTGGTCCAGGGGAATGGAATAACTTAGACAAGTCTTCTTTCATGGTAAAGGCTCAGCATACTACAGAAACTACAGAGGACAGCGGGGGGGGAAGAAGGAACCTCTTTTCTAGATTCATTTGAGCAGTTCTGAATATATATCTGAAGGTTATTGATCTTCCTTTCTCACTCAAAAGACTTTCCTTATGCTTACTCAAGAGAGAAAAACCGAATAATCTAAAATCCAAAGCATTTAAGAAAGTCATCACGGAAAATGAGAACAAAATAATTCACAGAACTATATTTGCTGACAATTCTCCTGAATTTAAGTTCCTTTTCAAATAGCAAAAAATCTCAAATGATAAAAAATGAAATTATTTATGGAATTATGAAGAAAACTATAAAATACATTATTTTTACAACTTGAATTTAGAGAAATGACTCAGAATTACCTTTTGGCCTTTTTACTAACATCTCTGGGAGAATCTTTGTGAGATGACCTGGAACGGGAACTCTCTTTGTGAGATCTTTCTGATCGTTCCGATCGCTCCGATTTTGGTGACGGGGATTTTGCTCGCCTACCACTACTGCTCCGAGAGGGACTGGGCGATGTGCTATGTCGCCTTTTCCTGTGCAATGAAGAGCCAAAATATTCAATAAGTGGTAATGAATAGCTGTGTACATTAATTCCTACCAATATTTACTTTCAACTGATACAGCAATGTTATTTTGTATCAGTAGTTCAAGTCCAACATACCAAGTGTCTTCTCCTTCAACAATTAAGGCTTTTACTACTAAAAATTATTTCTTATTAATGCCATACTACTGAAAAAATAGAATCTTTTCTTCAAGAACAAAAGGTTAATAGTAAGGACGTGTTATATCAAACATGATATGGTCCCAGATTTCATATGAAGCAGGAACATAAACACAGAGCAGACAGTTCCACATAAATGATGACCTTCCCTCTTGCTGCAACAGGAAAAGCATCAATCTTTGGTTTAAGATGAATGAACTTAATTTCAAAGTTGCATATGAAATGTTTTACTTTTCTTAAATCACTTTGAGAGTTCTTTGGAATAAGAATGTCTGCCATGAACAATCGTAGTCATATGATGCATATGTACATCTTTTACCAAAACCTTTCAGCTGTAAGTAACCAAGATTCAAATACATTTCAAAGGATGAAGCCCAAATCTTCTGGATCAAGGGCCCTTACAATTATTAAGAAACCGTAGACTGCAAAACGGCTCAAACAGAAGCAAATTTATGACATCCAGTTACTTGGTGAACCCAGAAGTGTGAACCTCTCTTCCTAATTGAAGCCCTTCTGACCTGAAGTGAAGGCAAACAGCTCCTTTCTCTCATCCTCCCCCCCTTACAGGTTAAAGGCAGCCACCACTGGCACATTAATCTGTGAGAGCTGTTTATCTGGGAGATAATGAAGGTCTAGTGAGCTGTTTTGGTCATTTGAGTCTCAGGTTTGGTACATGATATTGTAACTAAATTCCTCCTCTGAGGTAAGAACTAAAGATACAATCTGAACCTTGAAATAGGGAAGATGGCTGCATAACCAAGCCCAGTACTCTCCCTTATTCTCCAAGTAATACTGCTGCCCTTTGTGGGGAAGAACCAATTGAGCCCTGACCAAAAACATCATTTTTCCAGGTTACTGCCATGATTCCCTTGTGTCTTGGTGTCCTCATCTGTAAAATGAGGATACTGGACTAGATGGCATCCAAAGTCCTTCTGGCTTTAGTTCTATTTGCCTATGAAAATGTCACACAACAGTCACACGAATCCAAACCCCCAACCCTCTCCCAACAGCAAAATAACAAAGGCTGCACCTTTCTTTTCTTGTTGGTGTGCATTCTTCCTTTTCTTTCTTGTCTTTGGATCGAGATTCCAGTTTCTCTTTATCCTTCTTGTCTCTCTCGCGTTCTCTTTCCAATTCCTTCTCCTTTTCCTAAAAAAATTTTTTTAAAAAGCATTTCTTATATTTGTCACATTTTACAAATAATTTAAAATTCTGTGTAATTTCACTTATCCACTACTGGTTTTTTTTGAGCTTCTGTGATTTTCAAATTTATATGTGAATTTAATTAACATCTGAAATGCTTTCACACAGAAGACATCTTATAAAAGTAGGCTTTTAAATACAAGCATAAAAATAGGTTAAAAAAAAAGAGTAAGTATCTTATCACGCCAATAATTTATCCATATTATAAGTGGTGATTGTTCTGGCAGATTAAAAGTCTTATACAACTTAATAGAAGACATAAACTAGCTGAGCAATATTCCTATTTGCTTGTCCTAAATCAATGAGGTACACAAAGTACTCATGTGCCAAGCACTGTATCTACACTGTACTTATTACAAGGGATACAAAATAAAAATAAATGGTCCTAGCCCGTAGGGAGCCTACATACTGTTTTACAATTCCAAATGAAACCCCAATTTCTACTAATATCTCCTTTAAGGACAGGGACAATTTTTTAGTCATCTTCCTATCTCCTATTTCATCATGCACTGCACATAGTAGGCACTTAATGTTTGTGGAACGAACAAGGCAGGGGTCTTCTGAGTAATTATAAGTTTGGAAGTAGATAATTTTTCATATACTACAAAACTCTTAATCACTATCTCCCCAAAGCTTCATATACCTCTCAGTCAATTTTGTGGCTTAGTTATCAGTTTTGAAAACATTTCGTGTTTATTTGGATCAGAAATATAAAGGTGATAAAGAGATTGGGTACTTTAATACATAGAAATCATATTTTTCCAATTATAAATGCAGTTAAATGCCTAAAACAAACAACTTTTAAATCAGCACATAACTGCAGCACTACAGATTACTCTATGACTTCCAGCCTTGTGAAAACCTGAAGAAAGAAAAATAAAAGTGGTTTTTTTTTTTTTGGGAGGGGGGCTGAAGTGGACTGGGGGTAGGAGGGGAGACAGAGACACAAGACAGGATGGACAAAATGATATTCATCACTCCCAGCTCTGCTAGTTTCATAAAGTACCCAAAATCAACAGAAACATTTTCTGGTCCAGGTAGTCAGTCCAGGTCCCTACACCCAATGTAATATGAAATTTGGGACTGTTGGTCCCTAACTACCCACATATCTACTCTCTGCAAGGAAGCTATGTAGGGTCCTTTTGAAAGGATAGGCTACATCAAGAGTAATGAGCTACTCTGAGAGTTAGTGTTGGCACCCCAACTTGGAAACAATGTACAAAAATTTCCTACAATTCAAAATTTCACCAATTCAAATTTTTTTTACGCTCTTTGTGCCATTTCTACAGTGAGGTCTAGAACAACCGTCTCATACTGTCACAAATATAATACCACCCTTTTGGCACCACCAGGGTCTCACAGACATACCTAAAAAGATTAATCTATTATAATTTTATAGGTGATAGGGGCTACACTGACCTTTTAATAAAGCCCTTTTGCCTATCTCAAAACGCTTTTAATATAGAATTCTAAATATGCCAAACATTGTCAAATATTTCTGATGTTTACAATTCAGAGAATACAAATACAAACATGCCAATTTCTTATGTTCTTTTAAAAGGATATAAAACTTCTAAGCCATTAGTCTAATCAGTCAGGCAAACACCAGAATACAGAACTCCCCGTACTCTCTGAAGAAGCTTGTCTCTGTAGTGCTCCACTTGTTCTTGAAAGCTCTGCCCTGGTTTTTTCGGTCTTTTCCCAGATTCCAATTCATCCTGAAACTTCATCACTTTGAGCTGTGGAATAAAAGGGCATTTAAAAGTTTGTCCTCATTACCAGAAGCTCAATTAGAAAAGGGTTCCTGAGGCCAAGCACCATTGTCATTATTTCCTATCTGGCTTATGAAGATCAATACAAATCTAACTGTTGTTCAGTTGTTTCAGTCATGTCTGACTTTTCATGAGCTTGTTTGGGTTTCCCGGCAAAGATACTGGACTGGATGGCCATTTCCTTCTCCAACTCATTTGACAGAGGAGGAAACTGAGGCAAACAGGGTTAAGTGACTTGCTCAGGGTCACCTAGTTAGTAAGTGTCTGAGGTCAGATTTAAACTCAGAAAGATGAGTCTATCCACTGCACCACCTAGTTGCAGTAATGAGTAATTAAGTCAGACTCCAAGAGAAACAAGTTCAAGATAAGACAGAGTGAAATGGCCAGAGCTGGGAGGGAGGGAGAATGAGACCTAGGGTTTGCATGCATCTTTGCCACTTTACTTCAGGCAAGTCACAGTACATGCCCGAGACTCACTTTCCCCACCTATAAAAAAAGATCAATTAGCACTGGTACTACCTGCTTCACAATGCTGGGGATGGGGATGGGGGGGGGGGATACAGGAGGCATGACACACAAACATCTGATAGCATATCTGGAATAATTAATCAACGTATGGACAGGTACTTATCTGACCATCTCACATATCCAGACCATAGCCGTCTGTTATCATCTTGACCACAGGGGCCATTCCAACCCTTTTCCCCAATAAACTTTTAAAATGAAAAAGTCCTATTTTGTTGTCTTTACTCCTGCCCAGCTCAATGCCCTGGAGCTCGAGCACTTGGACATAATTCTTAAAAGGTGCTACCCTACTTCTGTATGCAAAATCTATTATCTGCCCATGCTCATCTTTGATGCAAGTCTAAAAACATCTAAGCTGGATGATGAGTTTCCCTGTGCATCCAGATAGGTCTCTTTTTTTCTACCTCATCATAAATGTTTCTCTCTCTGCATTCAGAATTTTATTACTGATATTTCCCATCCCTCCCAGACTTATGTGCCATGTCAAAGTTTAATCCATGGGATCCTGTCTAGCCTTTCTCTGAACCACTAGAAATCTGCTCTATAAAAATGTGGAGCACGTGACATATGGCCAGCTTTCCTCTCCTCTCATAATTTCTAAGATGAGACTGTCATTTCCCCTCAACATACTCATAATTTCCACCTGAATTTTAGAGCTAGAAAGGAATTTGGATATGAATGTCCTTTTCCAACTATTTTGTTTTAAAGATGAAAAAAGCTAAACTCAAAGATATTAAAATGACTAGTTGGATATTTGGTTGGTGGGAATCAGATATAAGATGGCTCTTTGATTGTGCTACCTTTTAAAAGAGAGAATTAGGATGGTTAACAGAAAAGTGCTAGACTTGAATCCTCGGAAGACCTAGTTTAAATTCCACTTCTGGTATTCATTAGTTGGTGTATGCAAATCACATAAATTCTCTGAGCCTGTTTCCTCATCTATAAAATATGGATAATAACTTCAACATACTTACTTGTTACCACATAGGATTGTAAGGACAAAGTATGTAAAGAGTTTTGCAAAGCTCAATGCAGTGGTAACCACCAAGTCTCCTGGGCTGACTCATCATCCACATCACAATCCCCAAACGGGAGTGCTCCCCAAGGCTGTTCTGGACCTCCTCTCTTCTTCAGGTTTAATTATTAACTCTATGCTGACTCACTAATCTGCAGATTTAGCCTCAATCTTTCCACTGAGCTTCAGTTCCACATCACCAACTGCCTACGGGACATTTCAAACTGTACATCCTGAGGACACCTGAAACTCAACATGTCCAAAAGAGAACTCATAGAGGCAGCTAGGTGACACAGTTAATAGAGCTCTGGCCTTGGAGTCAGGAGGACCTGAGTTCAAATAGAGCCTCAGACACTTAATACTTAGTAGCTGTGTGACCTTGGGCAAGTCACTCAACCCTGATCGCCTCACTAAAAAACAAAAAAACAAAAAAAGAAAAAGAAAAAGAAAAAAAAAAAGAGAGAGAACTCATAATCTTTCCCCTCCAAACCCTTCTCCTTCCCAAATTTTCCATTTCTATCAGAGGCACCACCATCCTTCCCAAGTTTGCAATGTTAAATGTACCAAAACCATCTTGCATCCAACCCATTCTTTCTATTCTCACTACTATGAGTTTACTCACTACTATGAGTTTAGTACCTCATTACCTCTTCTCTTACCATCTGACTTCCTTAACTCACTTAAGTCTACACACTTCCTTACTGACTCTAGGAGCAAAGAGAAACTCACCTCACTTTTAAGCCCTTCATAATCTGGCTCAAGCCTATCTTTTCAGCTCCATTATACATTACTCCCCTTCCCAGACTCTACGATTCAGCTGAACCAGCCTTCTCTCTGCTCCTTACACTTGTCATTCTATCTCCCACCTCTGTACCTTTGTACCAGTTGCCCCCATAACTGGAATGCACTCCTTCCTCACCCCACCTTAGAGAATCTCTCTTCAAGACAGTCCAAGAACAACCTCTACATGAAGCCTTTCCTGATCACCCTCATGCCTGTGCCCTCCCTTTCCTAACTACTTTCTATTTATTTTTATTTATTCTGCAGGCCCCCTCTACTGCCCTTTCCCAAATTACCTTGTATTTAACTACTTTGTATCTATTTATACTTATTAGCTTTACAGTTATATACTACATGTATTTTTATAAGTACTTGCTGCCTCCTCCATTAGCTTGCGAGTAAATTATTTCATTCTTTGTGACTGTGTCCCCAGAACTCAGCCTGGCACATAGCAGGTATATGATAAGTACTGAGTTGACTGCAGATACTTATTCTGTATATATTTATTCTGTGAACTCTTACAGATGCATATCTTTCCAGATTTGCCTGCGCACCAAGCACAGCAGCTGGCACAAAGTGGGCATTTAATAAATTCTTGATGACTAACTTAGCAAACAAATCGAAAAGTTATTAGCTACTCTGCTTCTGGCAAACAGAGCTCCAGCAAACCACTGCACCAATATGCCAAAACGATGATCCTGAATTCCTCAACTACTGCATTTCCTTCTAGGTCATCTAACTGAGCATGCTAGACGACAATATATCTTATGTTCCTGCCTATGCTAATTTTCGCCCAAGGGCTTTTCATCATGTTTTCTCCTCTAATTACTGCGTTTCCTCACATAATCATATTTTCTTAATATACAATGCTAGTCAACCCCACCACCATTTCATTCCTTTGGGGCAAGATATACCTTTCCAGAACCACAATCAAATAATGGAACAAACTGCATACTAAGCCTCAGTGATACTGACAATGCCATATTTGAATCCTTATGAGGATCTCTTAGTATGCCTAGTATAAACTGTTTTTTACCTCACAGAATAAACAGCATGTCAGGCCCTCACACATAGCATTTACTTTTACTTTCCACAAAATTTTAGCAAATTTGGTTGCCTGGTTTCACATACCACAAATCAGAAGGCAAAAAGTAGATTACACATATCACTAGTGATATACTAAAAGTTGAAGTCAAAGAAACAGAAAAAATGACAAAAACACAAATTTAAAAAACAGTAGTCTGGAGTCATTGTTATAATAATAAGGGATTCAAGAGTCATATCCCTACACATCTAACTAAACTGTGAGGACATCACTGTGTTTATAGTATTTACAGTATTGTAGCTGATATTCACAAAGGGCCTGTAGCCACCAAGAAAAGGTTAATTTATAGTCCATAAATTCTATTTAAAAAAAAAAGAAAAGAAAATAGAAAGACTTTCATCTTTTAAAGTTTTGGCACCCAAAATGAATATCAGCCATCTAGAAAATCTCACTCATTTGGAATAGCTCCATCCTTACCCAGTGATGCTTGAGTAAATGAGATGTTTTTGTATTTAGAAAATATTCTAGCATTTTGTATCTAGTTTCTGCTCAATTTCATATCAGTTCTTCAATACATAGTGGATTTTATTCCCCACCAATATTATGTACATATCCTTGCTTTTCTTGGATTTTACAAAAATATAGTTACGGCTCTGAATATACCCTGAACTTACTTTAAAATCCTACTAGATAGAAAATTTGTTACTTGAAAAAAATTTTCCACCTAAAATGACTGCATATGCTACAATTCATTTATTCAAAACCCACTAACAGGAATTTGCAAATGAATAAAAAGGGAGCTGAGAAACACACAAATAAATATAACGTAAATTAGAACATTTGCACAGAAAGGAGTACAAAGTATATCAAATAAGGCAAAAGACTACTCTCAGAATGAGAGCTAGGGACTCTGGAGTCAGAGATGCAAGCTCCAATACTAGTGCAACAGTTTCTTATTAACCAAATTGGAACACTTGGGAAATAATTATCCTAAAGTTTAAAAAGTTAAGTTACTGTTGCCAAAGACTGACTGATACTCTCTGTCTGTCTCTCTGTCTCTCTCTCTCTCTGTCTCTCTCTGTCTTTCTCAAGGAAAAGGCAGGCCTAGAAGGTTTGTAGGTAGCTGGAAGCAAGGATACGGAAAGGAAAATTTTCTGAACATGCAAGAGAGAAGAGGACTGATTGCTGTCAAAGGTCCAGAAGGGACGGGAGATTCAAAGCAGAAGAAGAAAAGTTAGTCTTGGTAAGAAGTATCAATCTCAAGCAGAAAAAGTCAGACCAGATTAGCAGAATGAGAAACGAACTGTCATACTGCAGACACAATATAACGGTTTTAGAATTAGCGTAATTAGTCTCTAACACCTATAATAGCTCACATTAATACAGTGCTTTAAGGTCTATAAAGCTACTACCCTATAATATCTAATACAGGTCTTATCCTACTTAGTAGATATTGAGCTGACCTTAGAGCCAGGAAGATCTGGGGCCCTCTAACATTGGCTATGTGACCCGGAACAAGTCACTGGACCTCTCAGTGCCCTAGACAACTCTCTAGGACTCTCAGTGGCAGAGGTGCTGACCTTCATAAACAGAAAGACTGTTTTATTAAGGAGTCCCCACTTCAAAGTCACAGGTCCAGTCCCTACCCCCATTTCAAATGAGAAAACAGGATTCAGTGAAGAGACCCACCTATAGTCACAAAGCTGGGGTGTGTCAAGGCAAGGCCTAAACCATAATCTCCTGACTCCAAGCCTAGCACAGTAGTGCCTATAGAATTTCAGAACCTGGAAAGGAAGATAAGAATTGCCTATTCCTACCCTTTTGTTTTATAGACAAGAAAAACAAAATCCAGAGAGAAGTGAAGAGTTACAGTGAGTGTGGCAGATGCTGGATAAGAGCCCTGATTTCCAGACTCCTGGTTCAGTACTCTTCTCATAACATCACCTCCAACAGTCCAAACAGACTCAGCCCATCAACAGTGTGCTGGGAAATTAGACTTGTGAACAGAATAACTGAACATCTGTTGGATTGAAACTACTAAAACTGTTCTTATACCACATGCTCTCATATAGTTGGTTTAAATAATCCTAGATATTTTTTGGTATTTTTAAATATAATTTTCCTGAATAATTTCAAACTACACTACCTCCAAGAGCCTTTTAAATATTATCATATTCCCTTTAAATAATCTTTCCTTCAAGATAAACATAGAGTGCAGATTTAAAACTGGAAGGCATCTAGTCCAAAGCCCCTCATTTTATAGATGAAACAAGGCCTAGAGATGTGAAGGTGACTTTCTCGGGTTGCAGAACTATCAGGGGGCGGAACTAGGATTCAAATACAAATTCTTCCCTCAGTACAACATATCCCACTTCAACATCCCAGAAATGACAAAAGCCTCTGAACACTTCCGGCAACTGTCCAAAGGTCCAACTAAAACAATGTAATTTACTCAAGAGGACAGGTCCTTAAGGGCAGCAAGACGGCATCACAGTGCACTAGGCCTGGGGTCAGGAAGAACTGAGTTCAAATCTTGCCTCAGACACTTACTAGCTGTGTGACCCTGGGCAAGTCATTTAACCCTGTTTGCCTCGGTTTTCTCATTTGCAAAATTAGCTGGAAAAGGAAATGGCAAACCACTCCAGTATCTTTGCTAAGAAAACCCCAAATGGGGTCACAGAAAGTCGAACATGACTGAAAAGAGTGACTGAATAACACCATAGGTCCTAAGTAACCTCAGCCCCTATCCTCACTTAAAATTTTGTTTTTAAAGTATCTTGAGATTTTATATGGACAGACATACATCCCTAACATCTAAAATCTACTACCATGTGCATTCCCTAAAAACCCTGAGCTGATGCGACAGCCCAAGTCCCTTTACTTGTGTGGTTTACTCACTGATTCAACATACAATTTTTAATTAATTCTGGTTACTGAATGGTTCCAGGATTAATATTCTGGTCTCTTGAATTCAGTAGCCAGTTCAAGTCATGGGAGACTCAAGTTTGAGGGGAAATGTAAATGGACTAGAAAGAACAGGGAAATTGGACCCAGAAAACCTGGGTTGGAGTTCCAGCTTTGCAACATACTCCTTGTATAATTTTGGCAAGTGGCTTCACCTGTATGGGACTCAATTTCCTCCTCTGGAGAATGAACAAGCTGGATACAATCCTCTCTAGGAGTCTTTGCTACCTAAAGAACCACCTTCTTGGAGCAGACTCCTTTTTTGCTCTTTTTACAAGTTCTTTCCTGCTACATAAAAGGTAGGATATTTTATTAGAGGGATATTTTATTCTCCTAGAGGAGAAGCCAAAGGTGTGTATTCTAGCTCTCACTTTGCCACTGAGTAGCATGGGCTCCCTCAGCACCACACTGCACAAGCCTCTCTTCTTCCTGTGTAAAGTATCAAGACATAGTCTCTAATCTCACAGAGCTTATAGTCTACTGTATGATCTCTAAAGTTCTTTCTAGCACTAAAATTCTTGAATTCTATGATTCTGTTCCCAGTTCAAACCAATCAGAAGCAACCATCTAAATGCAAGGCAGGACAATAGCAACACCTAGAAGTGACAGATCCCAGTCTGACAGGCAGAAACCAGAAAACAAAGACATCTAACACAGTAATTAGAGCACCAAAGTCATCATAAAGGGTAAACTTGTCAGAATCCTCTGCTTAAGACAGCAAAGTAGTACACCAAGCATTGGAGAACTATTCCTATCAAAAATGGCTCTGATAAACCAAGTGTGGCATATAGAGAGGCCCAACAGCCACCTGAGAAATGCACACCTGGCAACTCAGTGAGGCCAGATAAATGGTGGGGTGGAGGGGGTGGGGTTCTGTGCTCCAGTCACAGTCTACTCTATCATGACACCTGCCAAACAGTTTTTTTTTTTTTTAGAAAAGAAAAAGTTTACTTTAATGACATAATTCAGGATTCACTATGAAATTCTCCTCCCGTGAATTTTCTAGATCAGGCCTTTTATTTAACCTATTTATTTTGTTTAAACTTATTTGTAATATGACTATCCAATTTACTTTTAAAAAAATTCAAGAAACCTCCAGAAACTAAGCTAAAAATGTACTCTGAAGGTATTATATGTCAGATTTAAATAGCATTAACAAAGTAAGTCCTTCTGTGGGCAATTTAGAGTACACATATAATACTATAAAGTCACACTTTTCAGAAAAGAGATGAGGAATTTGCCATTTCCATAATGTCAAATAGTATGAACTTCCCTAGCACACTGTAAGGAAACCACATGAACCAATAACTCTGAAAATCACTGATTTCTCCACCCAAAGTTTAAACCCTACTGATATACTGCACAGCTCATAATAAAATGTTATCAGTGGTTTTTGAATTGACTGTGTATGAGAAATGGGTGGGGGAAAAGCCTGCAATAACCTAACAACAGCAATGACTACTTAGGAAAAAGGAAATAAGATAACACAAATGAAAAGTATAATGTAAACGCAAACTACATAAGAAACTCTGGGTTCTCTGTAAACCTTATTCCTTCAAGTATGAGACTCCATTACTTCTTCACTACAGATGGTAACTCCTGGGAAGCTTTTGTCACAATCTGAGGGTAAAGATTCAGGAGGACCTTCCCCAATAAAATATCCTACCTTTTATCTGGCAGGAAAGAACACAGGAAAAGAGCAAAAAAGAATCTGCTCCAAGAAGGGGAAAGGTTCCTTAGGTAACAAAGACTCATGGAGAGGATTATAATCTAGTCTGGTCATTCTCCAGAGGAGGAAACTGAGGCCCAGACAGGTGAAGCCACTTGCCAAAGTTATACAAAGAGTATGCTGCAAAGTTAGAACCGGAACCCAGACTTTCTGGGTCCAATTTCCCTGTTCTTTCTAATCCAGCACAAGTTCTTTTTTCTCATTCCAAAACATTCAATTACCAACCAGCATCTCAGCTACTATAACAATCCCCACACAGATCACCTTTGCTGTTAAAAAGAAATGTTATTTTTCCCAGTTCACAGGCCAGGCATGATACAGGAATTAATCTGGGCCACAATGTATCATCTAACTCACACAGATCATCCAAAATCATAAGACATCTAGTTTTTATGACCCAAATTACCGAACACTACCTTTTCTTATGAGTTTGGTTGTACTTTCATATATTTCGTGCTAATACTAACCTCAATTTCTCGAAGTTTAGCTCGTTTTTCTTCACTCATTTCAGAATACTTAACAGAGGACTTGCACTCTGTCATTTCTTCTTTGATTGGATTGGAATACAAATGATGTTCTTCAGATTTGGAGCTCTGAGTGTCTTCCTCATCTTCACTCTCTTCTTCTTGACTTTGGGAATAAAAAAGGAGCTTATGTTAGTAAGTTCAAGTTATTGCTACAGCTTACTCTCTGTGCTCTCACTCAGCCCTTCCCTGGCTCTCAGTTCCACTCTCTTTCTCTGGGTTCTTCTTATTCTTCAGGTTGGTCTCTGTGTGCTCATCTCCTTGCTTCTGTGTTTGTTTCTCTGCCTACAGACATCTTCTATTTTAATATCTCTTAGAGCCAAATCTATCTCCACTTTAGATCGATTCCTTTCTCCCTCTATCTATATCTGCGCCCTTCTCTACCCCCTCAAAAAACCATGTCATCTGTGTCTGTGTCTGTAAAACATAAACTCTCCAAGGGCAGGAACTAATTCCTTCTTGTCTCATCCGTTAAGCATCCAGAATAATTAGCAAGGGCTTATCAAATGTTTATTAAATTGATGATTGTTCCCTAGTGTTAAGTGTTTATTTTTTGCACTCTAGAGAACTCTGGGCAGGGTAGCTGAACACATAATCATATGTTCTCATTGACATAAAACTCTGAAGTTTTCTGAAAAAAAAAATTTTGATTCCAACGAGTAATAAAAATCACACTTAATCACATATTGCTTTTGTGGTGTTGTATAACTCTCCCATATAACCCCTTTGTAAAACTACTTAATCAAATGGATAATCGATCCAAATGTTCTTAAACATTAAATCTCACATAATCTGTAAGAAGCCACAGTAACAATATTAAATATTAAATTTTCAAAAAACATTGCCCACAAACTGTTGATCTATACAAACTATCAATATTATTCTGTATCTCTGGAAAGTTACTATTCCCATCACTGCCTTAGGTGATCAATCTTTTGCTGGTAGCAGTGGACTCTATAGATAGTAACCGAGTAGCATAAGGGATCAAGAAACCTATCATTAGTCTAGTCTTTATTATAAATAGGTACGATTTCCTTAATACATATTTAATTGAGTCAAATTAACAAGCACTTATTAAGCATTTACTATGTGAGTAGCACTGTGCTAACTGCTGGAGATACACAAAAAGGCAAAAACAGTCATCAAAACCAAACTTGCTAAATACTAAATACTTTCTAAAAGAATAATATACTTGTAAAAACAACTTTGAAAATAAACAGTAACCTAGATTAAGTACCAATTAATGTCAACATAATAATAAAGAAAGATAATCTAACCCATTTTATGATCCAGAGTTTACATCTTAAAAGGATAGGTAGCAGGGTAAATTGTTTTTTGTGATACAAAAAGTCCTAGTACCTTTATACATAGAACATTTCCAAGCTACTTTACCAAGTTTACACAACAGCTAGTCACCCAGGTTTGAAACTTGAATGTATAACTCTGCCATCTCCCTCTCTTACTCCCCCCCATCATATCCAAATCAGGTGCCAAGTCCTTTCAATTCCACCTTCACAATCTCCCTCAAACATCTGTCTTCTCTCCTATCGCCACACCACCGATGTTTCAGGGTTTCATCAACTCTCATCTGGATTATACTAAAATCTCCTTAGCAAGTGTCCCTGACTCCACAGTTTCCCCTAAAAAACCCATCCTTCATAAATTCCCAACAAAATAATCTTCTTTAGGAAAATATCTAAGCATCACACTAAAGCCCCCACACAAGAGCTGGTTTCATCCTACATTTCTAGCTTTATTTTATATTATTCCCTTCCATATACTATAAAGAGAGCAGAAAAGTGCAGCAGAGGGAGAGGGAGGAGAGTAGGGCCTTTCTTCCTCTCCTAAAAGCAAAAAAAAAAAAAAACTGATAGTTGCTTCCAAAACTATAGTTATTTTATATGAATTTTAGAAATGAATCATGATTCTGGGTATGAGACATAACCTCAAAATATTTTACAGGTGAGTCTTGGAAATGTTTTGATTTTTGAAAGGCCATAAAATTCATATCAGAGACAGAACTGTTTACTAGTCCTGCTCTAATCTTGCTTTTCTACTTTTGAAGCATGTTAGAATTCAAATTCAGTTAATCCATAAAGTTTCCAAAGCAGTATTTACATAATAGACATACACAAATCTTCAACCAAACCAAGTAAGCTTTAACCCATTTTCTAAAGCTCCAACTTGCTATTTTAAAATCAAGTTTCTTCCTCAGTGCTGTAGTAACCAATTACTCTATCACCCAAAAAATGTAGTTAATAAAATACCATTCTAGATTTGGCCACTAGAGTGCAGTAGTGTAGCATACAAAGAAATTCAAGTGCTGGTGAGAAAAAAAGTGATATAAATTACTGTCTTTCATACTCCAGGAAGCTACCTGCACAATTATTTATTTTACCAGGCCCTTTCAATTTAAATCAGTCTGTAAGCAATCCCCAAACCCTTCTCATTTGAACTAAATAGGGAATTACATTTTTAAAGAAATGGAATCATCACCCAAGCCTTTGGAACAGATCAGGATGATTCAAAAATTACTTTAAAATATAGGCCACTTAACTTTTTGGAAACATTATCTTCACTTTTGGCTTCGCTCTTCATTATTTTTCTAGTTATTAAGCTTTAAGTGTGATTTTGATTTCTTGCTAAAAAATCACAGTCACTGGAATCTCAAGTCTTACTCATCAATTTAAGACTGTTACAACACTCAAACACATTAACTAGGTTAATGGTTCAGAATAACGAAATCAAATATACATCGAAATATAATGACTTAATATGTTAGTTCCATCTTTTAGAAAATAGTATTAAGTAAAGGCTTCTCTTCCTCTTAAAAAAAAAATAAAGTCTACCATGCAAATGTGTCAACATGCTTATTATTTTACTGTATCTAAAATAAGTATCTCTGAAACACATCCTTGCTCTAGGAATGCTATTCCAGGTAGTTGTCTATTACTGATTAGCACTGCTATACCCATAATTTTAGAAAAATTATCTCTCTTGTAAGAACATTCTAATCATGCAAAACTTGATTTTCACCAAAGTGAATATTATTACATTAAATGTCCCAAAAACCTGAAAGACACTAGTATTCCTTCTTCATATTTTTCCATACTGCCCAACTCCAATTTGGCTCTCTCTCTTGTTCAAGCTCTCATTTAAAAAAAAAAAAAAGTTTTTCCTTTTAAATAGAGATCTTTTATCTTCCAATACTGCCATGTTAAGGGCTGATGTGGAAGTGCTACCTCTAACCCAAAGCAGCAATTATACTAGCAAGCTATAGCTGAAGGAGGATTTTGCAACACAGATTACTACAATTTCATACCCAAGAGACAAATATAAAAAGTATTTAAAACTAGGAGGGCTGGGAGCAAAATGACACAAAAACATTATAATTTCACCTATTTCTTTTCTTTTCTTTTTTTTTTTTTTTTTGCCTTATGGATAGAAAAACGCACTGTGCCAATTTATGCTGCTTGGCCCCTTGAGGCATTCTTTAAATTCTAGTCTTAGTGTTAAGTGATATAATCCACGAAAAAATCAAAAAGTATCTGACAAAAATTAAAAAAAGGGAGAAAAGACACTACCAGACCTGCCCTTCCTCTTGTTGAAGAGCTCTCCTCCAATTTTCTTCAAAACACTACCAAGTATTTTAAGTGCACACTCTCTGTGTGTTTGTGTCTGGGTCTGTATCTCCAGGTACTCTATTTTAGAATGTAAGCTCCTATATAACATGGAGAATGATACTGCTATTCCTTCTACCTCTTTAAAAATCACTTTCCACAGAACCCAATACAATATTTGATAACAGAGATCTGAAAGAAATGCCACTGATCAATTAACATATTTAACTACAAAGTGAGATTCATACATAACTTGATGGGAGAAAACAAATACACTACAGCTAAAAAGCTCACTGAAATGAGAAGCACTATAACCAGAAGCCAAAAGCTACTCATACGCTGGGAAAATAATTGAGGATCTGAACATGATCCCCTTACCAGTTTCTCCCCCTCTTCACTATTATTTCAAGCACACTCCCTGATGAAAAAAAAGGGCACCCACACCAGAAACTGAGCACATTAAGATCCCAGATTCTTACTTTTGATTTTCTTCTTCTTCTGATTCTTCATGCTGGTCAAATAACTCCCACTTAGATGTTGTTACCGCTGAATAAAGGGAAAAAGGATGTAATTCCATAAGGTAAATTAACATTATTGTAGAAGCAGAGCCAAGTTCCAGGTTTAGAGCTAGGGGTTTGCATTACACAAGTTTTTATCTGTATGGTATTAACAGCCATTTCTTTGTTCTACATGCATTCCACCCCTCATGGGAATATGTAAGTTTAATTCTTTACTCAAACTTACATCACATTTCTATCTGTATTAACTAGGTGACTAATATTCTCATGCTTGTGTTGAAGATTTCTTGTTTGATCAGAAACTCCATATATTCCTGTGGACACATTATATGCATCTTGTTTACATCCATGCGTGCATATCGTGAGCACACCCTGGCTTGGGGCACTCACAAAGTCGATATTAGTACAGGAACAGGGAGAAACTTCAAGAGTGGAGGGCTCATTTCCTCCAACCTACTAATTCCTACAGGCAAAATAAGTTTGAAATTGGTTCCCAAACGTCCTGTGATCCTGTACTTTGATTTTCAATTCAAATTGTGTCACTTAGGAGACTTTTGGCCAGCTAAACAAGGGCATAAAATGAGACAGGGAGCATTTTCTGGTCTACTTAGAACTTAACAGGGCCGATCGTGTCTCTGATTCTAAACTTCTGCTACATAAACACACCAGGAGCTGTCCCTGCCCTTAACCCATGCACAAGATGACATCTGTAAAATGTGCCATGAATGCTAGCTATTATTTACTTGGGGAAAAAAAGCTTAATAAGGAATTAGCATTCTGCTCACCTTGTGCTTCCAATTCTGATTCATCTACTGCTTCCCATTTGGATGGGGCAACTTTAAATATGGGCTCATTCTTTTTTGAGTCTTCAGAGGCATCCACTGTTGAGGCAAAGAACTGCACTATTAGGTGAGGGAGAGTAATGCTAAAAAACAGTTTCTATATTGCTCATCAATGATTTAAAAAATATTTATCCCATGCTTTATGGATGTTTTGTTTTTATAATACATTCATTTCTGAAAATAACCCCCCCCCACCAAACCTACTGATTTGTTGAACAAATCATTTAACCTCTCTGCCTTAATTTCCTCATCTACAAACTGGGAATAAAATAACATCTATCTTACAGCTGGGTGGCAAAGTGCGTAGAGCTTAGGGTCTGTAGTCAGAAGACCGGAGTTCAAATTTTGCCCTCAGATATTTATTAGCTGTTTGACCTTGGGCAAGTCACTTAACCTCTGTTTGCCTCAGTCTCCTCAACTATAAAAAGAGGATAATAATAGCACCTACTTTCCAGGGTGGTTACGAGAACCAAATGAGATATTTGTAAAGCATTTAGTCTTTAAAACCTAACACATGGCAGGTACCATATAAATGCTAGCTAGCTATTATTATAAAATTGTGTTGGGAGGTAATCAAATGAGAAAATATACATAAAACTATGTGCAAACCTGAAGACTCAGGAATAGTCACAAAAACTGTATGAGACATAAAAGAACAAGGTCACAAAAACCCAGAGAATAGAGGATCTCCAAAAGGAGAGGGGAGCAACAGTGTCGAATGCTGCACAGAGGCTGAGAAAGATGAGGACTTGTGACAAGGCAATCAGATTTGGCAACTAAGAGAAACAAACACACATACATATGTGTCACACATATTTAGGAATCCAGTGCTTTTTCCTATATAGGGAAGAAGAGGAACAAGGTCTGAATCCCACTTCTGCCACTTACTCTCTGTCTTACTTGGGCAAGCGCCTATAGGTCTTCATCTATAAAAGACAAAGGCTGGACTGGATGATCTCTACCCCTTCTGGGTCTAAATGCTGTACTTTTCCCTCTACCAATGCACAACAGCTGAGGCTCTGCAACTTCTAGTCTCAGAGTGGCCCTGAGCACCAGAGAGGAAAGGACAAGCCCAGGCAACAGAGGTAAGACATGAACCAAGGTTCCAACAAGCCACACTTACCTCTCAGTGTAGTATGTGTACATACACGTACACACACACACACACACACACACACACACACACACACACACACACACACACACACAC